ACAGAACAGCAAATAAAAGAACAGAACAGTAGAAAATAATAGAATAAAACAGAACAAAATAGAAAATAAAGGAATAGAAAAGAAAGAATTCACTAGAAGAAAATAGAAAAGATTAGAACAGAAAATCAAAGAACATAATAGAAAAGAAGAGACTCAATTAGAATAGAATATCAAATAATAGAAAATAGAGTGAAACAGAGCACAACAGAACAGAAAATAAAGGAGTAGAATAGAATCAATTAAAATAGAAAATCAAATAATAAAATAGAAAAGAACAGAAAAAATTGAAATAGAGAATCAAATAGAATAGTATAGAAAAACAAGAGTAGAAAGAATATACCTTCCTTCCGAAATTCGAATTTTGAATAGAATGAATTTGAATTCGAACAGAATACTTTAGAATAGAATATAAAATAGAAAAAATATATATATAAATACATTAGAAAAGAAAATACTTTACAAAAAAATGTGAGCTGCACTATGGTGATGTGATGATCATGTGAAAATTTTGCAGAAATAGAAATTTCCAATGTTGTCATGAAACTCTTCATATAGCCCATATACCATCAAAAACACACATGGATCATAATGTTAGAATTATCATCAAATCCGTTAGAATTGTATTCGAATCTGTTCGAAAATTAAAATTTGGTTGAATTTGAAATAAAATAAACAAATTCCCAAAAAATGAATTTAAATAATTGAACTAAAGGACAATAACGAATCGCAACAAAAAAAAAAAAGAACTTTCTCATTTTGCACAAGTCTAATTCACTGGTCAAGCCTTGAAGAAGGGGAAGCCTGTCCTCCAAAACACGTTGGCTGTACTCAACACTCTTAATAAACCTTTTCAAAAAGACTAAGTATCTTTTGTAAAAGGCGCTTCTCAATACACACACCAGAGTTTATCGTCTGCTGAATGCGCCGCCTTGTGTTACGGTCAGAGGTAGTAGCCCAGGACCAGCATAAGGTCCACCACCCTACACCTTCATCATGGATCAGTTGAAGAAAGATGCACTTTACTGTACATTTATCAGAGCCAGGTGTCATGTCTATGAGTCCAGCATTATCACACGCACGGTGGTCCTTTGACTTTGTTACTTTGGAGGCATTTACCTGGAACCAGCATGTTGATTAGGACTTCGGACTTTCCTGATCTCTTAGCCAGGGCTCAAAGTCATGAAGCCAAGGGGTCAGCACAACAGTCGGGGATCTAGAATTTTAAGAAGGTCAGCAGTGACAGCTACTTATACTGACTGGTGAATTTCCAGCGGCTCAACCTTGCTTTACTACTTCGTAAATCAGTACCTGGACTCCTGACCTGCATTCTGGTTCAAGAAGACTTACCAAAAAAGTTCCCCCATGGCTACAGATGTTGCCCTTAACGTGGACCCTTCAATACCTTTAACCACTTCCAGTCCAGACACTTTCACCCCCCTTCCAGTCCAGGCC